AGTAGTAGTAGTAGTAGTAGTAGTAGTAGTAGTAGTAGTAGTAGTAGTAGTAGTAGTAGCAGGAGTAGTAGTAGTAGTAGTAGCAGGAGTAGTAGTAGTAGTAGTAGTAGTTGTTGTTGTTGTTGTTGTGGTCGTCGTCGTCGTAGTCGCAGTCGAGTCGCCGTGCTAGGTGGTAGTAGTAGTCGTCGTCGTCGTAGTAGTAGTAGTGGTAGTGAAGTAGCAGTAGCAGTCGTGGTGGTGGTGGTGGTGGTGGTGGTGGTAGTGGTAGTGGTAGTGGTAGTGGTAGTAGTAGTAGTAGTAGTAGTAGCAGGAGTAGTAGTAGTAGTAGTAGTAGTAGTAGTGGTAGTAGTAGTAGTAGTGGTATAGTGGTATAGTGGTATAGTGGTATAGTGGTAGTAGTAGTGGTGGTGGTGGTGGTGATGGTGGTGGTAATGGTGGTGGTAATGGTGGTAGTAGTAGTAGTAGTAGCAGCAGCAGTAGCAGTAGTAGCAGTAGTAGCAGTAGTGGTAGTGGTAGTGGTAGTGGTAGTGGTAGTGGTAGTAGTGGTAGTAGTGGTAGTAGTAGTAGTAGTAGAAGCACCGAGGGCATACAGACCTAAGAAGTGGGTATCGTTTGGTATCGTTTTGGTATCGGTCCAAGCCCACACTTGTTTCCCATCGAAGAAAGAGAAGGGAACATGAGCAAGAACAACATGGAATGTCCTAACTAGCGTCGCAAACCAAATGCAAAAGACCTTGGACATACACTGCGTCGAGTGTCAATAGGCAAAGATAGATTCCAAGATGTGTACCGTCACAAGGCTAGGTATCGTTTTTGGATTATATACTGTCATTTTTCTAGAGTTTTCGACACGCCTGATGTGTGCCGACCTTTAGCAGTGAAAAACCGCGATGTGGGGAAGCGGCAGATTTGCGCCCCTTAGCTGAACAGGAGGGACGATCTTGAGTGGTTCTGGATGGTGGGATGGCATAGGACACGTCTCGGAGATGCCTTCTTTTTGCAGGGAGGACTGTTTACAGCCAGACACACCACCAGTGTTTTGGCTCCATCGTCATGGAACGCGGTAAGGTGCAGTTACGCATACGCTTGAGGGCACCTCTCTATATATTTGGGTCGAGAGTCTCGAGAGACTTCAAATCTGTTGGATAGCCAGAAGTGCATCCCTCAAATTGGCATGGACACCCAAACAATCTGGCAACAGCAAGTTGTTTGTCTACAGGTTCTGTCTGAAGTCTTGAAGATTCAATGTTTGCTTTCAGGTCTGGCAAAGAGAAAAACACCTATGGCAAGACAGACGTCCTATAGCTCTACAAGGCTTTATACAGTGGTTTCAGAGTAGATGGCACTGGCACCCCTACATGTCTTTTAGATGGGGGTCCATATAAACCACCTCTTGGTGATTGTGCCATCTACTCTGAAACCACTGTAAAGGTTTAGAACCTGTGCCGTCCGCGGGGTCTCCCCTTTCAGCGCGCATCCCTAGGCAGCTCTGCGTGGGGCCCTCAGGTGGAGGCAGTGACCGTCTAACCGTTGGCCCCAAGCCTCTGCCGTTCCCCCAAAACAGTGCCTGAACGGATGCGTCATCAGTGCATGCGTCTTTGCATAAGTTTTTTTTGGTTGCCGGATTGTGGCAATCCTTCTTTTCCTGGAAGGGATTCTTCAAGCCGTTCTGGTCCTATTCTTCGCAGTTTCGGTTTTTTTTCACTGGCCGTGGAGAACCTCGGTGGTCGGTTGCAGACCCTGGGCACCGATGGTAGACCAAGGATCCAAGCAGACCGATTTGTGTGCAGAAGCTGGGGCGAGTGTGTTTTTTCTGTTTTCTTCACCTCCCAAACGTGTTCGACCCAGGAGTCTCATGGGTTTGGGGTGAGTCCCAGAACTTCGAGAAAAGACTTGATGGGTTTGTCTGAGCTATTTTAATTGATTTTCCTTCTTCCAGGGGGTTTCTTCCAGGGGGGTCAAATGGGGGTCTCCCTATTCCAATCCACACCCAAGTAGACACCTATATATAGACAGCTCCAAAGTATCCTCCGTGTGAATCGTTTTTCATGTTTTTTTCCGGCCGTGTAAGGTCATTGTCCTGACGCTTGGAGCGGCTCAGGAGACTGAAGTTGACTCTCTTGATAGTGATGTTGGGACTGGGTCTGTCTCAGAGCTCAAAGACAACACTTGCAGCTCGCGTTCGCAGCTAGCCAGGCTAATCGGTCGTCGATGAGTTTGTGTGGATGATCTGCGGGTCGGAGTTGTTTGGCCCAGCACGGGCTGGGCTGATGACTGTTTCTTTTTTGTGGCTGCCAGGAGAACTTTTGCTCACAGCCGAGTTTGAGTGTGGGAGCTTAAAGAATTTCAATGCAACATGTTCAAAGATGGGGACTCTCCTTTCCCATCCGCCTTGATGTGTACTGTGCACTGCTGGAGACCACGGGGCCGTTTGAAGGATCATATGCCAAGCGAACGAAAATCATCCCGAATGGTCTAGGCTGAGGCTGGTTGGGGTCGAACTGGGAGGTCTTCCTATTCACAGCGCTTGGCGCTCGAAGCCGCCCGCACGGAGTGTGTGCGTCTGTCGGTTTCGGTCTGTCTGTCTCAGTCTGTCTATCTCGGTCTGTCAGTCTGTGTCTCGGTCGGGCAGGGCACACGGACGAACACACCCACGATGTCAATAGTGCAGTGTCCCCCGCATTGCACATGCATCCGCGATGTCGATGCAATCTCCCCCGGCCGGCATTGCCGGCATCGCGAACGTTTGGTCCAAGACCATATCCATACTTACGTATCATCTTATCAATCTTCAAAAAACCCCGTAAGGCACAGCACTTCCCAAGCATGAGATGCGCCCCCCCCCCACCCCCTAAAGCTAAAGCTTAAGATTTATCTAGCAGAATTCTTGCGGCTTGTGCAAGCCTCCACAACACCTCGGCACCTTCAGTGCGGGCGGTGTTTAATGCACACTTAATGGCAAGACAACAGATCAGCCAGTGGAATATCTCTGAGGTCGCTTTGATGGTTTCCCAAAGCAACTCGATGCGGCGATCTACTGGCACGGGAGCCTAGCTGGGAGCATGGCGGAGCAGGCCGGGAGGAAAAGGAGGAAAGATTCTTGAGCTACTTTCTACATAGGTCGCCGGGTTTCGAGCTGGACCGTTCTCTGTCAAAACGAAGCTTTTGTGTGGTCGTGCTTGGCAGCCCGGTCTTCAGTGTGCACCAGCGGGTCCCCAGGTTTGGCCCAGAGGATCAAACGGAGAAGGCGGGGTCCCGGCCGCCGTTGGGGAGCGCTCTCAGTGGGTGTTGCAGGAGCTTCTCCCAGATGGACGAACAAGGCGTCTGAGTTGGTGACACTGGATCCGAGGGTGCATTCCAAATTTTTTTGGTGAGAGAGAAACTCTTCAGAGTTTTTCTCGAAAGAGCATCCCACACCAGGTGATCTATGTCAATGCGTTGGGTTCAGGTGAGATTTCCGCCGATCGGACAGCTGCAGGCCACTGGATCGGCGTCCAAGTGGGGTCGCCCGGAGAGTGTCGGAGGCAGTGGTGAGTGAAGGAAGGCCCAGGTGGGATGGGATGGCCTCCTCACCACGAGAATACAAGGCACATGGTTTGAACCCATCTCTCCCAAATTCTTTACCATGTCAACTCCTTTCTTCCGGCACTAGCACTTTCAGAAAAGGTACCAGCGCTTTGGGTCCCACCTTCCGGAAGCGATGCTTTTCTTCGGGGTGTTTGAGATGATTCCTACGGGTGGACAACGCCCGGTTCTTCGTGTGCAGCAAGGTTCTACGATCCCAGCCGGCCGACGATGCTCTACTTCCATGGCTGGACCGGGCAAGGCCAGTGGGGTAACCTCCGTCCAGGAGGTTCACGCAAATTCATGGAGAGAAACAGTTTCCGATATAGCGCGGGTCAAAACCGGATTTTTGTTTTTTTTGGTTCACCACAGAACATGAACAGACTAGACTAGACTTGACTAGACTATTGGGGAGATCAACCTACCGGAGTTGAACATGCATGCTTCTGCCAAGAGCAAGTCTGAATTGGATGCTCCATCAGAAAAGACACGTGGATATCCTGAATAGTGGCCTCCTATTTGGTGATTGAGAAGATGGGTGGATTGAACTGCTACCAAATGAAACAATCCGCCACTAGGCCAGCAGCTCTTTGGTGTGTTCTTGAGTGTAGATCGGGAAGAGAGTTTTCAGGGTTGAGTTTGGCTCTCTACCCTTTGCCTTACGGGGCGAACCGCGGCTATTGGAAACACCGCAGTACTCACCACTGGTATTGAGTAAGTGTAGCTCAGATTTGGATTTGCTTTTCAAAGTTGAAGCAGAACTTCAAGATTTATTCCTTACGTATTTTGGACCTACTGAAACAACCAATCAATTTTGTACAACAGAAGACATACTGCAAATCATACATGTATGCAAGTATCTTTACCGTTTTTAAACTGTTTTTGTTCTCCACCCTGCCAATAAGAGAAGTAAAACACACTTAGTATTACGGGTATCAAACCATGAAAGAAGCGGAAAAAGAACCACGTCTTTTTTCTAGTAGGACTTATAATTCTTGTGTGTCTTCGGGTGTTATTGATTTTCAGTAAGGGACCAGGAGACACCCTGTTCGCTTCGCCAGGTGGTGGTTGGACCAGCAAATGCAAGCGTTTGACCACCCGCTGTCGTGCTCTCAGATGGGTGAGTCAGAAGCAATGTAGGCCATGCAGGTGGCTGGTTGAACAAATACATCAAGAAATAAACTTGGCCAACAAAACAAGGGCTTCCCTTCCCCCCCTTCCCCCCCGAAAAGCTTCGGCGGCGCTTCGACCCAGCCGATGTCACAGCGCGACGGGCGTCCTGTCGTGCGCGAGGCCATCCAGACATTTGCCCCAATGGTGGCGGTCAGTTGCTGGTGAATTCCTGGCTCGAGGAAGGCGCGGCTTTGGCCAAATAGTTGGCCTCAGAAGAGCTAAGATGACTCGGTTTGCAACTTTGGGAAAGGCCCTTTGACGGTGCGAACTGTTTGAGGCTGGAATGTGGGCTTCTTCTACTGGGATCAGTTTTCGGACGAGGCGCGCACTTTGCTCGACGCGTTACGAGTGTGTTGAGTCTGAGACGAGTGGTGTGTTGAGTGGTGTGTAGTGGTGGAAGGGAGTCCAGTGGCTTTAGCCATGGTTTGTCTCGAAAGGAGTTCGCTCCCAAACCAGGTTTTCATGAGTTCATCGTTCTTCCCCACATCCAACTCGTCGCCAAGGGCATGAAGAAGGATATACCCGAAACCACAGTGGATGGGTCAAACACCTATCATCCACACCAGGGCGGCATCAATTCGTGGCGCGAGCTGACCATGGAAGTGCTTCCGTGCTGAGGAATGTGCGCGGGACGCGGAGCAGAAGCTTTGGCTCAGCTCTCAGGACCTGTGCGCATCTGGAGCATGCCATCCTGTTCCATGTCGGGCGTGTTTTTGCTTCGACTCCAATGGGGAAGGTCACTCACCTGGGTGCAAAAAGACCACATTGGAGCTCCAGGGCGGGGTGGAGCCTTTTGTTTCGTTGGCCCGTGTGGCCGAAGCGGACGACCACGCGATGTGGTGAGGTTCGACCGCGGTGGCGACGGGATTCGATGGAAGTCCTTTGATCCGGCCACAGGCACCGGTGGAGGGTTCGAACCCGTGGCGGTCGAGCGATTCCGGCGGTGCGAGGGCGAGGTCGGGATCCGAACGATGCCAAGCAGGATGCGATGGATTCCGTCTTGACAGATTTTTGGGTGTGTGCTATCATGCGTGCTATCATGTAAGAGCATTTTATTGAAAGAATTTAAGGGCATTGAGGTCCTCACCCCCAAACCTTCCTCCACATATAGAATCAACTAAGGGCCAATCCCAGTTTCGGGTGCTCGGTTTCATATAGATCCGTTCATTTTCGGGCGCACGGTGCAGGCATTCCAAGATCAAGTTAAGAAACCCTTGTAAATCGAAGGCCCAAAATAGGTCGTGCGACTGAAGGAACTAACACGGAAAGTGGAAAACCCCCTGTTTGCAAGAGGTATCTTTTTCATTTCAGGGGCCATGCGATCCCATTCCATGATTGTGCCAGGGAGGGTAAAAAGCTAAGTGTGGCCCCACATGTGCCATTTTATATTGTAATGCGTCGTGCGTTATTATAATGTGTTGATCCATACTCTACCTGTTGTCCGGGTTTCTAGATCTGTCCGATGCTTTCGTCAGAGAGTGTTTCTTTTTCGTCAGGCCAACGAACGCTCCGGTTTCCTCCCCGAGCGCCAGGGCGCACCGAATATCGCACCTACCAGGAGGCCAGAACAATGAGTCGCACGTTTTCGAGGTTTTTTGTTGTTTTCTTCCTTTGGGTCCGGTGCCGTGTGCCCAGTGGGCACGGGGATGTTGCGATTGAAAGAACTCAAAGTCGTTCCAAGTGGTTATGAACACCTTGGGTTTGATCGAGAACCATCATGAATCATGAACGGTTTCTAATTAGTTTTGGTCACTAGATTCCAAAACCGATCGTCTTCGGCCCATCGAAGGTCCCCTTCTTGGTTCCTCCAAGTCCCTTCTTCAACGCTGATGCGGCGCGTGGGTGACTGACCGGCGCGAACTTGGACGCCGCCCAGAACTTGGATGAGCTCTCCGTGTCGGACATGTGTGTCGGGGGCCTCACTCTCCGGGATCGCCTCACTCTCCGGGATCTGGGGGTGCTGCTACAAGTAAGGGCTGACCCCAACCGGAGCCCCCGGAAAGATCTTCGGAGGAAGGCTCCACAGATGGAGACTAGAGCCAGTGCTTGAGCCGCCGGAGTGTGATGGAGCTGTTCGAGTTGGGGACTGCGACCAACATGACCAACATGACCATCGCATCGCGCGCTGCTTTCATGCGACTTGCCGAGGCCAATAGTGTGAAGATGGCCATGGGGTCCTTCAAAGGTTCGCAAGTGCCAAGCCCTTGGAGGGTTGGAAGGTGGGTGGCACACAGACGAGGCTGGCTTGGTGGCTCTTTAAGCATCTTTAAGCCAACTTTTCACATTTCTTCATTGTTCAATCTCCAACTCATGATTCTTAAGGATGCAAGTAGCTTTGGAGCCTTCCAAAATGCTTCACCTTAGTTCACCCTCACCTGGCTCCTCACCTCCCCGCGTTTTCGCTGAGGCGCTTCGTGGGGCACTCCTTGGGTGCTCAACTGGCCGTGCGGTGCGCCTCGCTGCTGCACGTCGAGGACATCGGTGGACACCGGTGGACGGTACTGGCCGCGCGGTGCCCAAAACAGTTGGCCTGGAAGTAGCACTCATTGATTGGGCCGCCCTATCATGTCGATTCTGGTGAGCACAGGACCATGCGGCAGCACCGCAAAGATTAGCTTTGCCAGGAGCTAAGGGCTTGGGGGATGTGGGGTGGATTTTTGCTTTTCTACTAAGCTGAATCGCCTTAGGCTTGGGGAGACGCCCCAGACCTCAAGCCCTTCACCGCATATGTTCAAAGTTCAAATCTTTGACATAGAAGTGTATTGTTTCTTGCAACTGGCCCCGCACCAAGTGAAAACCTGGCCGGGCTCAGACACGTGAACGTGATGCAACACCTTGGTTCATTTTAGGTTGAGAGTTGGTACTTGTTTGTTTTGTTGGAAGCGGCCAACCGACAGATAGAGAAAGAAAGCATTGACACATATTGAAACTTATTATTGTTTGTAAGGAATCAAACAGTCGCAACATCCTGAGGCTTCCGCCGCAATCCCCAAAAAGAATCCCGATTCGTGATGTAGGCCTCAGAGATGGCGAGAATGGATGTCACACACCCACATTGGACCACTTGATGTGGTCAATGTGGTCTTTCATACACAACGTACCAACCTTGCTCAGCTGCGCCTGGAAACACTTCCCACTTGCGGGACCCGGGAAACGCCTTCCCCTGCGCGCCACCTGAGGTTGGAACCCTACTTCAGCAAACATAGCCAACGTCTCAGACGCAGAGAGGTCGAGTGGGATCACGGAGCCCGGCGCAGCGGAACCGCGGTACCAGGTGATTCCGAGGAAACGACCAGGTGAAACGACCCATATGGCTGACGAGCCCTATGGAAGCTTCGGATGCACTGTGCCACCCCACGTTTTTTTTTGCAGACGCAAAAGAAAGTTATGGATTCCATGAAAGATAGATGTTCGGACATGTTCGACCACCTGCGCAGTGGCCCCCTCTGTTCGGGTGAGTTTACCCCCCTCCACTGCCTTGACTGGTGTCTGCTGCCTGCAGAAACTTCGCGCCCAGGCCACATGTACTTCTTCGGGTGCCACGCTGAAGTGACGACCGACGAGGGAATGGGCCCGACGCTGAGACGCCGAGGAGCCGTGGCTGGCCGTGGCTGGCTGGGCTGCCTCTTTTAAGTCCTCCCAAATGCAGGTGGTTTGAGTCTCGTGGAGAAGGAAGTTTCTTTTTTTGTAGGACATTTTAGGATTGCCGCGGTTTGTGCTTCAGTGTTCTTTTATGAGGGGCGTGCATGGGGACTGCAGAGGGTCTTGTTTTTTTTTTTTCCCCGAGGGCTGATTTTTCTCATGTTTTGTACCTGGAGAGGATTTGGATCTTAAGTTCTTCTACTACCTTGAGGGTTTCATGGGCAGACCTACTGTCCAGTTCATTTCCTGGTGCACCTGTGGGCCAAAAGCACCCAACAGCAACCCACCACCCAGATTCAGGTGTTTGCCAGGGCAAGAAAGACACATCTTCCCGTTGAGCAGCGGCGTTTGCGACGGCTTCATCATCGGAACTTTGGTCCCGGCTGGGAAAAGCAACACCATCTGGAATCTTTGCATGTTTCTTCCTCCACCAAACCGCTTGGATTTGTTTCCGAAAGTTCCGTCCCGTTGCTTTTGTCCCCTCAGACATGGCTCCGTCCATCAAAGCTCAAAAAAAAAGAACCGGGCGAAGCACTGGTGGTCCCCTTTTGTCCGATGGGAGGGCTTTCACAAGGAAATGCAGCACGGGTTCTGGTCCCACTTGCGCAAGGTAGGGATGGGATGTTGGTAGGTGGAGATGAGTATGATTTTCTGGGACTTGTAGTAGATTGCTCCTAGTAGCTTCGTGCTCCTAGTAAGGCCAGGAGCCCTTAGTAGCGTCCTTGGTCCTAGTAGCGATGCCCTTTGTTACTAGTAGCGATGCCCTTGCTCCTAGTCCTAGTAGCTTCTTGTTACTAGTAGATGAACATCCATTAGACTTTGAACATTGTTCAACCGCCAAGGCGACTTTGCGGCCAAGCTCACCGTCCAGTTCGTGCAACATCTCTGGAAGAGTGCGGGGCCAGTGCTGGGGCCGGGTGGGAAGCTAAGCCATGGGTTTGTGGCACGGAGTTGCGGGCTGCAGCTGCGGAGGCATAATGCATACTGTATAATTACGAAGAATAACCCCCCACCTCTTCATATGAGCGAGTTTATGAAGTGTAGGGTGCTAAATTGTGGTTAGTCCGACTGGCGTGTCTTTACAGGTATTTGCCTCGTTTCTGACCCTTGTTATTTGACGTTGTCATCCACTGTGGTGAGGTGTTCGCGCCAAGTGACCGCGATTTGACCGCGAGAAGTTGGTTATGTTTGACCGCTCGAGAGCTCGCTCGTGCGACATGAAACACAGGAGGTTTACTGGGGTGAACGTTGCCAGGATTCATTCAAGAACTAAATCTTAGCAGTTAAGAACATTGAGGGACTAACATCGGATGAACGGCTCACCTATAGCCTAGGGCTGCGCAAGACCTGCAATCGGCACAGCCCGTGCGCCTGCGCACAGGCAAGAAGGTTGTGACGGAAGTCTACAAATCCTCGCAGCTCACGGAGGCTTGAGAGAGCTTTTCAACTGGCCCAACATCCTTGTGAAACGAATCAGTGATACCAAACCACACGTTCTTTCCTTTTTTACCAAGCAATGTTTTTGAGCTTCGGTGATACTCCGATTCTTCCAATTGGGGTTATATCGAGACGATAGGGCTGTTTCGCGAATCAGGAGACTGGAGAGGAGTCGCCGTACTCGGAGCTGAAGAATCTGGTTTCTTGGGCTCAACAAAGATGGAGGACTCCGCTGTGGGAAGAGGTGCTGATGGAGTGACGGTGATGGAGTGCCTGCCCTGACGGCGAGCTTTTGACCGTCGAGGAGAGAGTCCACCATGGTTCGTGACGGGGTTCCCAATGGTTCGTTTGGTCATTGTGCTTGGAGCTTGGTCACCTGCAGTAGCTGACCCATTTGAACGCCAAGGAGTTGAGCGCCAGACCTTGTGGAGTTTGAGAGGGGCAAGTCTATATTAGCAGAAACGATATCACGAAAGGTAGCCCTTTAGGGGATACCTTGAGTTTGTCTTGCGAAGCAAGTGTCGGCTCTTCCAGGTCGAATAATTGATTGCTCAATTCAACCCCCCCCCTTGGAATTGTTTTTCCAATACAGCCCCCCCCCCCGCCCCCTTAGAATTGATTTTTCAATACCGACCCCCCCCTCTAAATTCAATTCTCTCCTGGAGAACATCTTCGTGCGCCTCTCATGATTTCAGGATAGTTGAAACCCTCTTGAACATTCAGAAAGAGTGCATATGAAATTCTAATCACGAAAGGGGTTCCCCGAGGGGATACATACCTAGAATTTGTTTTGTGAAGCACGTCAATTCTCTCCTGGGGAACGTCTTCGTGAACCTCTTATGGTTTCAGGATAGTTCAAATCCTATGACGATGCTCCGATTCAATGCTCACCGATGATCTGAGCCATGGGGCAAGTTTGTTTTCCTAAGATTTTTTTGAACATTTCGAGAGCATATGTTTGAACATTTAGAGTGCATATGAACTTATATTTACGAAAGGTCGCCTCCGAGGGGATAAATCACCATGTCGAACATTGCATTTTTGTTCCTGCCTCTCGCGTTCTCTTCTCTTCCCGCTGTCCCACCTTTCGTGTCTCCCTCCTCTCAAGTTTGTTCATACCTTAACATTGAATCACCAAGAAGTACTCCTTATTCAACTGGGGTATTCTTCTAGGCACTGATAGGTGTGAATCCGAGTTGAAATCATTCCCATTCGTGATCTGCTCCAAGGTCGAGAATGGCGCCGTGGGTGGTGTTGAAAAGGCGCTGGTCGGCCTGGGGGCCAAACCAGTTTGGAGGAAGTGAAAACACGTCCAACAAAGAGCATGCATTTGGGAGGCTCATTCGAGTTCCGGAAGGTCCAAAAAAAAATGGCATTGAGTATCATTGAGTGCCGAATTGCCATTGCACCTTGCTCGAAAGCGGTAAAGTTTAGGCATACGTAACACTCCATCTTTCGATTTTAATGACCAGTGCTCCTGATGGTCAATGAAGCCAGTGATACTTGTAAGCCGGAAGCCGCTTCACTGCTCTAACTGTCTGTCTCTTCTCTACGTCTCTCTCTCTCTCTGGCCTGGTCTGGTCCTGTCTAGTCCCGTTTGGTCCTGTCTGTCTGTCTGTCTCTGTCTCCGTGTCTGTCTGCCTGCCTGCCTGGCTGGCTGTCTGTCTGGCTGGCTGTCTGTCTGTCTGTTTGTCTGTCTGTCTGTCTGTGACGCCGGCGGCAAACACCGCGGCGGCACAGCGGTGTTGGCGGCTGCTTCGGTGGGCATCTGAGGCAATCTGGCCTCTGGCATGCGCGCCGAAGACCTGGAGAGGCGCACGGGGGAGAGGAGGAGGTTTGAGGAGGTGCTCGAGCTTTTAGCACCCTGGCATCCGACTTTTTCGGGCGCATGGGCACCCTCCATTTGGAGAGCCATTTCAATCCATTTCATCCATGTTGAAACTTGTTTTGTCTTATTTCAGTAAATTTGTACTCTTGAGATATTTCATCCGTTTTTTTTTCCCATCCAACACTGTCCAACACTTCTTCTTTGGCACCTTCCTTTCTCATGGAGTCGATCTTCCCCGCGACCGGAACAACGACCCGACCCGACCCGCGCTTCTGTGACGGTCGCGGCAGGTCGGGGACCATGGTGAAGTACAACCCAGACTGGTGTGAAGGCCGACCCTCAGACTGGGCCGTTGAGCTGTTTGACTTGGGCACTACAACCATGTGCGAGAGTGCGAGTGATGGAGAGCGAGTTATGGCTGGGGTTGGTCGTTGAGCTGTTTGAAGAGTGGTGATGTGGGTGCAGTGGGTGAGGAATGAAGCCAAGACGTTTTGGGAACTTGGGATGGAGTTGGGGAGAGTCTCTTCTTGGGAGAAGGCCATGGGATTTGGATTGATCACTGGATCGTTTCGACGACCGGGAGTTGTTCCATCCAGCTGATCGTGCTACTTCATTGAACAACTTCTGGCTTTTGTTCAGCTGATTATGACAGTCTTTTGACCAAGCATCAGAGTTTATTCAGCTGATCTTGACCATCTCAGACAATTGTTTGACCATTTTGGACTTTGACCAACAAATCTCAATCTCTTGGCTCGTAACGTAGGTGTGGGCTCTTCCACCATGGGCGACGTGGAGCACGTGGCATGCAGGCCCGGCGCCTTTCCAGCGGAACGCGGTGCCGTGAGAGCGAGCGCGGAAACTTAGGATATCCAGGTCAAGAAGAACGTTCCTAAATTATCCAAAATGGTGCTTGATGGTCCTGTGATAGCTTTTTGATTGTTTTTGGATGGTTTTGAAGGTTTTTGGGTGGGAGGGGACACCAGCCAGCGAAGATTTTGCTTCGGATGATTTGGGCCAGGAACGTCTCGCACTTTGAAGATGCTCGCACTAGGCGTTGCATGATATTGTCCATCAACTAGATAAAGGATTGCGGACACCCTCATCAAATCTTCAACCCTTTTTTCAGGATATTGTCCATCCATCAACCATCGTTTGAAGTTTATCAAATCTTCAAACAGCTCACTCAGCAAGAAAAAGGAGGAACTCATGCCAGTCCACGGAACGAGGCATTGCGCGGTCATGCCGATGTACCTCTTGTGCAGCTGGCATGTTCGCTCTCCCATCACGGCAACGAGCGAGCCTCGCGTCGACGAGGGGAGGAAGGAGGAAGGCTCGGTTCTTTTGGCACCTGATGACTAGACTTGAGTTACAAGTGGAAGGACAAGAAGTGAACAAGATCAGTGGATCGCGGTCAAAGTCTCAACACGACATCCCATCTTACTCTTGGACAACTTTGAATGAACTACGTAGTAACTACGTGCTTGTATGTACTTGTGTCATTTCCTCTAAACATTACCGACGAGGATGAAGATGTTTAAACAATGAAACACATCACCACCACCACGACAACAACTCCATAAATAGGTGGAAATGGATCCCATTGACAATGCACTCAACCACAGATGTTTTGTGCTATGACCAATGTCAGCTCTCTGTTGGCAAGAGTACTTAGGACAGCGTAAAGAAGTAAAGAGGCGCAGTGAGAGAAGTGACGTCAACGCGAGCAGAACGCATGCTTCAACGGACCACTTATTGTATCTTATTGTCCAAAGCCAACTACTAAGGAAGCTGGCGTGGTTCACACCACTGGGCATTCGAAAGAATAACATGCGTGATTTGTGCAGGGCTTGTGTGCCTCATCCGGGCTCCGAGTGACGAACAACTTCATGTCGACCCTTTCATCAACATCATCACCCCAAACCCATCCAAACCCTCCATTTGTATTGTAAAATCACTTCATCTTGGAGGATTTGATGAATCACCATGACCCAAAATGGATCAAGAGTCTACCATCCGCCCCCCCGCTTTTTCGCCCCTCGTCCGCTCCGCGGAGCGCGGCTTCCGCGCGGCTTCAGGGGCTTTGGCCGGGCGCCCCCAGCGCTGCGGCCGCCGCCCACCGAGCGCTCGGAGCCGGGCTCGGCCGGGGCGACCCGGAAGAGGAACGGGGGGGACTAAATCAGCTAAGAGGCTTGTGGACCTGCTGGACCGTTTCTCTTTTTTGCATTCAGCAAGAGAGGCTACTTGCGGCGGTCCGTCTTTTGGGAGGTATAACATTAATTGAAGTGGATGTGCATAGGTAAGTCTTCGTGTTTTTCAAAGAGACCTTTGGGATTCCTTTGGTCGTTTGTCTTTGGCAGCTTGCGAATGGGTTTTTTGAGCCCAGCGCTGGGGCGCGCTGAGGCTCTATCATCGTGTATGACGCCCTCGGCCTCTTGCACGGACGGCCAGGTTGGTGAACCGAAGGGAACCGTGGAAGTTCTGGGAAGCCGGTGCACCTAAGCTGACCATGGATAGGGACGCCTCAGTATCATTGATCTAAGCTGGCGCGACTTGGTGATGGGGGTTTTTCTATGGTCTTCTGACTTCTGCTTGTTTTAGTCTTAGGGCCCGATGAGACTAGAATGGTGTTTCCATCATGGACACTTTTCTTGCTCACCATGCCTGCACCACGGTGGTTTAGTAGGATTTCCCTATCAAGCAGCCGAGGATCTTCAGACACATCAATGTTTCCTGCTTGTCCACTGGATAAAACCATTTGTTACAAGTGTACCCTCGAACATTTGTAAGAAAACTATAGTGGGCCCGCAATGGTTCTCTGATCAATACAAACACTTCTGGTTTTTGTTGGCCCACTTCAGCCACTGGTGGGCCATCATCAGCTGGACTCCGCCTGCCCTCCTCCACCTCCGCCTCGCCAGCTTCGGCAATGGGTCCAGCGCCAGCGCCCATCTTAGCACGCCGAACGAGCTGCCGAGACTGTTGCGATTGGAAGGATCTATGGAGCTGCAACACCAGAAGACACAAGCTGCCAGTGGATCTGTGTGGGTGCAGTCCGTAATTCGTGTGGATATCGGTGGATTCTATAGATCTGTGCCTTCAACCGTTGAGATGTGCCAAGCTTGCACGAACAACCATGGCCCCACGGCCCCTGCACGGGACTCGGCGTCCATCATATGTTAGGTGTACCAACCAAGTTCCGAACACCTAGGTTGATACCCCCAGGCTGCCGGCCGAAAAATCCGTCATGAGGCTAGATATGGCGCCGACTCGACAGAGTTGGCTGCAGATTGCTGGGCGAAGGACGCGAGATGAGAGATTGTGGGGTCAGTAAGACACGGCCACGCAGCCGTTGGGCAGATGATGTTCCTTTTCTCGGGGTGGCCACAGATTCTCAGCAGATCTCAACAGTTTTTGACAGGTGTTTTCTTTCTAGGGGCTACAGTTGATGTGGGTTCATGGCCAGCTTGCTTTGGGATGAGATTCTGCTTGTTCCATGATGTTCCATGATTGCTGCACGGTCGCATCGCTTCGCCCCTCGAAACATGATCGCTTCGCCCTGCGGTCGGTTTGAACCCACCTCCGGAACCCCGGCGCCGGTGATGGTCCCGGGCTCGGGGGCTCACCCCGACACAGCAGGGGACGTTGAACGGGCTCGTCCCCGGAGGGAGGGGCGGTTCGGCTCCCAGGACCTTCGATGAGGTGGACGATGCCTTTCAGTTGGATCCCTCCATCGAGCAGGGCTTCCAGGCGTTGAAAAACCTCCGTGCGTGGAGCGGTTGGCGTCCTTTTTTGGGGGGCGTCGAGGCTTCGGGTTGGAGTGATGCAAAACGCATCGGGAGAGGGGGCGCGAGGTCAAGAGAGAGCATGTGGGGTGCGAGCGCCAGGGGACGAGTCGAGCGCCAGTGCTGGCGAGTCGAGCGCAAGCAACATAGGTGGTTCTCACAGTGTTTAACCACGCTTGGAGAGTGTTTAGTCGCACCTACTTTGCAATTCGTCAGATTCTCTTGTTTCTTCGGAGTGGAAGATCCCTTGGCCGTTATATAAATGAATATTACCGTCGGTTCATTGCGGTATGTGATCGTTCGGTGACGGTGGCATCAATGAAAAGCAACACAGGCCATTCACAGGACAATGCTGCTCACAAGAGAACAACAGTGTCCAGCCATGCGGCAGCCATGCATCATGAACACATGATACCATGGACATCCATACACATTGTGCTGAACATGTTGCCTTTCGGTTGTGGAACTTATGGGTGTGGTCAGAAGTCCTCTCACTCACACACGGTCCAGTTTGAACCCAAAACTGAAGCGAGACCGAACCCCAAACCACCCAGCTGATCCCAATTGCGTCAGCGAACCCAGCTGGGCTCGTGCTCCAGTTGGGCCTTCGGAGTGCGAACTCCCTGGTCCAGAAGACGGCGCTGGAGCTGCCGAAGGGCCAGGCGCGGCTGGATGGAAACGGCGCGGTCCTTTTTTGCTGGGGAAAAATGCCAAGAAGCTGTGGAGGCAAAGGTCTGAAGGCTCGGAAGGTGAAGGCTCTGATTTCGGTGCAGTCGAGTTGTGGGGCCTTCTTTTCAATAGGCATCGCTCAAGACCACGACCACTCAGGCTTGTTGCCCAGGAGCAGCACCAATCAATTCCCGTATTTCCCTAATTATATAATCGATGTTAGATCTAGAATCTATGATGATCTATGTATAACCTGTTTGACCCTCCAGGGAACTCGGATTTTCCAGCTAAGCATCATTTGCGGTTTCGCCGCGACGCAGGAGTTCTCGCTCCACGCCTTGCTGACGACCCCATGGATGTTGCTTTCAGCCGGGGTGCTGAGACGGAGCTCAGCTTGCGGAGCCATAAGCGGAACTATTTGCGGAGCAAAGGCCAAAGCGAAGAGATGGAAGCGAAGAGGTGTTCCGGGTTTGTTTGTTTGTTTGTTTGTTCGTTTTGTTTTGTTTTGTGTTGGTTTGTTTTGGTTGGTTGGTTGGTTGGTTGGTTTGTTTGTTTGTTTGTTTGTTTGTTTGTTTGTTTGTTTCTCCATCACCAAGGTGACTGACCTGCTGAGAACCACATAACTAGCACCTGCTGGGACTCATACTCACGTGAATCCAGTCGTTCACTGGCCCATCCTCAAAAAGAAAAGGCACCCTCAAGCGAGTCACCCTTGAACGTCCAGAAGCTCCCTCGAACGTCCATCCGTTCGTTGAACGTCCATCTCACCACCGGCGAACGCCGTGGGCATGCGGACCGTCGGAAAGTCACGGACCCACCGCGTGGACCGAGGTGGTCGGTTTCGTCTTCACGGTGGTGGCTGCAGCCATCTTCGTGAAGCATTGCCAGCGGTGGCCCTGGCAAGGCGCTCGCTCGGCCACGGGTGGGGGTGGGGGGGGGGGGGAGGTCGTGGAAAAGGCGATGGCGCAAGTTGGAAGGGTGGTCGTTCAGCTGGACGAAACGGTGAATTGTTGGACTTCACCTTAAGAGGTTTCACGAGCCTTGCTTCGACAGGATGTGACATACTTAGTTCTGCAAAGGTCCAAAAGATCCTTGACTTTTGCCCCTGGATGAGGCTAGGAACCACGAGGAGATGTGTGACGTTTTGCAAGGATCCTCTTTGTCTCGACTTGTTCTCATCATGTCGAGGCTGCCGGCCTTCTTAAATGCACAAAGCTGCTGTCACTTGATCAAACAGACCACGGGTATGGTAAAGGAGCGTCATTTGCAGTAATTTATTATGTTTTCTCTTATTTTCTATTTCGGGCTGCCCCATCCACGGACTTGTTTCAAACGAACACAAGCAATGGCCTTTGCGAGAGTTTGCCAGCCGTTCTGGGGGCTGGCCGCAGGGGCAAGCCTGAGCTTGGAGACCAAGCGAAAAAAGATGAACACCGATCATAGAAGATCAAGTGGCAACAAACCCTGACTTGACCGAGCTGCTCAAAGTCAAGGGGGACTTGGGAAAGGAAGTCCACACTTCTTTCAGAATCCAATGTCCCAGTCCGACATGTCAAGGCTTTCGCCCGTGAGGACGAGAACCCGTGCGTCGGCTTTCCCCGTGACGGCGGCCGCACGTCTGCAGGGGATGACAGCGACGATGAGCTGAGCCAGTCACCGAACACCACCCGGCGCGGGGCATCCGTGGACGCGATGCCTTCGGTGGGTTGAAGGGGGTCATGCCGCAGTGGTCGTTTCTGACACAGGTGGTCATATGGTGGTCATATGGAAAGATGCCCGAAATCGGCTGAATTCTCAGAATGATTCTGGTTGTAGTTGCAGATTGCCTCAATTATGCTTGAAAGACTATTCGCAAAGTGGTCATCCATGGTTTTCCAGTTTGGAGCGCACTGCCACAAAGGATGTTTTGGTGAAGTCACAATTCACCGCTGGGCTGTAGTCGACTTGCTCTATCTATAGTCTACTCAGTGTACTTTTTGACGCCAACACACATCCGCCAAAATACAGTCTTGGGCAGAACAGACAGAGACAGATGTCTCAGTGAGAGAACGAGAGGGACCTCGTGGCCTCCCAACTACAACTCCAAACCCATGTATACGGACTCTCGTTCAACTTCTCAACACAATTCCTGTCAAAAGACGTTGTTTAATCGCTTAAGACCGTTCCATGAAGGTCCTTCTTGGTTCTTTTGGCCTTCTCAACGGCGCGTCTCGCGTCTCAGCACATAGCTGCGCCAGGCGCGTCTCCATGTACTCGCGCGAGCCCGAGCCAAGCCCCGGCTACGACCCGCTCTTGGCGTCGCAGATGGGGAGTTCCTTCTCCTCCACAGGCCGAGACGATCCGCGTCCGGTGGAGCGAGGGGTGTGCGGTGATGGTCCGAGGAGACGCAAGGTCATCAAGCGCACAAGGAAAAGACCAGTCAACTGCTGTTATCCCCTGTGAAAAAACAGTTGTAATTAGTGTTAATTGCATTTGGATGCAGTGGTGCATTCCTCACTGTTACTTCAACAACACTCTTTTTGGCATGCTCAACTCGTCGCTGGTGAATGAGTGGATTGAAGGAAGGGCACCTCCCAGATCTCCCAGGCTAGGTCACCAAAGTAACATAACGACCGCTTGGAGAACGGACACTTTATGGGAGACCTACCATCCAACTCTGAGACCGCAACTTGACTGAGCTGCGGTCCGAAGCTCTCCACACTTGACTGAGCGGAGCTGGGCAAATGGAGCCAAAGGTGGACTTGGTGCAGACGGGTGGTTTCTGGCAAAAGCCGGAGCCAAACGGCAAGAGATCAGAGTGCATGTCCCTCCATTGGAACCTTTGAGTGGACATTTTCCCGCCCCTCCAGAAATTTCCGGGTTTGTTACTTGGTGCAGGTCGATCCCAGTCAATTACCACAGACGGAACCTGGATTTGGAGGCCCTATGGCCTATAGCTTTTAGATGGTTTTTAGTCTTTGAAACGCAACTCGTAGAGGGTTTTTAGTCGTTGAAACACAACTCGTGACCTTACTACCGGTAGTAACTGATGTAACTGGAATCTGTTATTCTATGTTGTATTGTTGTTTGTCAAATCAACTTTTTGTCGACCTTTTAGCTGCGATGATGGGTCCCGATTAAATGATTATGTATATATGAATATTGTTCAAGTTGAAACCATTTTCTCCGGCCTTGCCAGGTTCTCGGACCGTGCTGGTACAACCGATGCCACCCTTGTTGCCGTTGCCGGCGGTGGCGGGCGGCCAGCTCTACCGAAAACCGCTGTAGGGTTGGGCAACAGGAGGTGTTTGCCACGTTGGACAGGCAAAGATCCGAGTTTCTGCGTAGGCTATCACTTGTCACTAGCTGTGATTCTTTCTTGACACATCCAAATCACATAGTCTTGCAGATCTCCTGCAACCTAATCTCAATCCCATTGACTTTGCAAGACTCTAAAGCGAGACTTGCCGCAGCGCCCCCGCAAGAAAAGGGTGTGAGGGTGCGTGAGGGTGCGTGACATTTGGACCCGTATCAAGGTGGCTGGATAGATCACTGGCCCAGTGGAATCACACCCTTGTGCTTGAATACAGTCCTGCATTGAAGCGCACCCGCTCTTTGGGGTAACAGCCAAAACGCCCGAGACGGGATGGGCCTTGCCCGAAGGGGGCGTGAAGATGTTTCCCGTGCAGGACTGGCGCGAATGCGTGGTGGATGCCTCTGAGGCCTGGGGTCGACAGGTGGGAGGTGAAACGCCTGAGAAAGACTGGTCTTGATCTTGCTCTACTGCCTACAAGTCTAACAACAATGCTTGGTTGTTGCACACTAACCTGGAATTGGGTAAATTGGTGTCGGAAGACACTTGCATCAATCTGCTTTGTAAACATGGGGTTTGCAGTTTGCAGCGGGTTTTGCCGGATTGTAGCCACCCAGGACCCAAAGTGCTACCTTTCTGCCGTACTGGTCTTTTCCACACCACGCCAGTGGGCTCAACGAGACACCGGGGGACACCTCTTCCGCCAATGTCATGGCAGGCGCTTCGCTTTGAGCCACTCCATCACAAGGACCCATGCGCGCGGGCGTGTGCCGCGCATCCAGGGGCGGGTAGATGCATGATAGATGAATCTGACAGCCAACAGGGCAACGGTCTCAAAATTGGTGTCAGTGTTGAAATGTGTCAGCTTCATGTTCTATTTGATTCTATCTACTCCATTCTACTGATGGTGACGCTAATAGACTACACACAGATCACGGATTGAACGGAGGAATGGCAAAAGAGATTCGATGAAGCATGATTAAGCACTCCTTCCTTCCATGAATCTACCAAATCACATTCGGTTCACAGTTCGCACTGAAGCTTTCAAAGCTCCCTGCCTTCCCTGATCCAGTCAATGCTTCGTTCTTCTCGTGGCGACGACACGCTCTCCGACTTCCTTCGCCAGGCCACGCTGCGCCGCGGCTTCGCGCTGGCGCGCATGAAGCGCTGGGCCCGGGGGCCTGTTCGACGGGCCAAAGAAGAAGTGGAGCAGCGCCCGAAAGAGATGTGGAAGGGACATTGGTGCTTGAATTCAGATGAAGGATGATGAAGGGGTGAACAGAACTCTTCCACTTCCACCAATTCCTCCCAGTTGATGGATCCGTGAATGACTCTGAGGGGCCTGCGGCAAAAGATCTGGATCGCGCTGTGAGCGTGGATCCCGCAGACAAGAAGGCTCGGTATGTGCCTGGTGTTTTAGCTTAGACTTAGACTTAGTGACTTAGAGTCAGTGACTGGCGGGCGGCTACGGTTGCCGGGGTAAGGGTTCAGAGACTTGCTGGAGGATGCTGGCTGGAGGTACAGAGAAATGGAGAGAGATGTCTCCGAAGCCATCCACAAAGCCTCAAAGTAGAAGCCCTTTGAGCGCCCATTAGTTAGCAGGATGGAGGACGTGGACAGCTTGGAAGCGCTTCTCCGTGAGATGTTCCCGAATGACAGATCTGCTGTGGACCAGACTTTGCAGCTGCTCAAGTCTGAGCCGAAGTATCGTGATGCATTGCTCGGCCTGAAGGCGTCTCCTCCTGCGGTGCAAGCATTTGTGCGCACGCTCGTTGGCATGAGGCCGAAAGCAGGGTCAGCTCAAAAAGCTTCGGCGGAGGAAGGTACCAGCCTGCATGAGCAGACGGAAAGTATGAGGGCACAATACCGCGAGTTTGTGGGAACGCACATCACGGAATATGAAGAGCCTTGGGTGTTGGTCCCCGCCGTCCCTCCTGATCTCGGGCAAGCAATCCAGGCTGCAGGTGCCGCAGCCTATTTCACTGGCCAACAATTTGCCCAGCATGCTGCAGCGGCCGCAGCGGTGGTACCTGACGCCATGCCCAACACCTTCAAGGCCTTGCAAAGTGCTGCACCGGTCTCTGAGACCATCAAGATCTTGCAAAAGACCACACAAAATGCTGCAGAGATCTTCGGCAAGAAAGCATCTCCTACCCTTTCTCGCAACAGCTCCAGCTGGCTGACGAATGGTGGCACGGTACTCACTGTGGGCTTCCTTGGTTATGAGTGTTATGGTCACATCCGTCAGTACTGGAATCACCAAATTGATTCGTATGAGCTGGCCGGCAAATTACTCACTAGTTTGGCCTCAGCAGCTGCGGCAGCTGCTGGTGCATGGAGCGGCGCTACACTGCTGGCAGGGGCAGGTCCATGGGGTGTTGGGTTTGGCGCCTTGGCTGGTGCTCTCATTGGTTCGGAGATTGCCAAGCAAGCCACTCGGACCTTCTTCGTGACGTTCTTTGGCACCAGCAGAGAGCGCGCTCTGAAGGATGCGTACTCAGTCCTGGGGCTTTCTGAAGCTGCGCGGCCGGCGCAGGTTCGGAAGCAGTACCTGAAATTGGCCCGTGAATCTCATCCAGACAAATCTGGCAGCCATGACCGCTTTGTTCAGGTCAATTGTGCGTACGAGCTGATCAGAGCAGCGAAGCTGGCAGGAGCATGAGGTTGGTTTGGAGCGGCTTTTGGCAAGGTTTGAGCTTGTCAGGTGTGGTTGATGCCAGTGGCCTTGAGAGTTTTGTAGGGAGCAGTGATCTATTTTCATTAACCCCAAATGATGTGACACATTCTTTCAAGCATTCCTTGTGCCAAATTCAAAGCTCAAAGATGCTCTCTTAAGAGTCAAGCGTCTTCCACCTCCAAGGCAATTATTTTCCACTGATCGTCCGAAGTGACAATGCTTCGCGATGAGAAGTTGCCTTGCGAGAGCTTATCAACTCTTAGTGACCACAAGTGTCCG